CCTTTCGTGCTAAAGTATAATGTTCGATGTGTATAACTTCTGTCAATAACATACAATGAACGTATAATTTTATTTTGATGCAACAGAGATTTGTATTTTCATTTAGGAGTACGTCTAATTGTGATCTCATTTAAAACCTTTGTACACGGCACGCGCGGGTACAGCTGGCGTACGATGCATGAGCCTTGGCCTTATCATTGACGCCTATTCATGGTAATTTTTTATATAGGATTTCCCGGCCAAATTCGCGCGTTTGTCATTCGATTTCATTTACTTTGCATTTAAGTTAGCGCAGATCGGCTTTGCTGTGCCAATTACCATTCAATTTTCCAGTTTTTGTATTTAATTTTTGATTTTGGTCGAAGGGTTTCATAGATCTGTCATTCAACTTAGAAACTGCTCAACTAGCATTCAAATTAATATTCACTTGTCAAAGATTAATGTTTATCATTCAAATTAACACCTGTCATTCGTATTCGTAATATTTTTATTCAAGTTAGGAATGTTAGGGGGAAGAATTGCAACAAACTTTTACAGTTTTTAAATAATGCAGTCAAAATGCATGATATGCCATTGGGGTCTAAGCTGTTATTCCATTTATTTATTTTCAGGACAATGTAGATGAGTGTAGTCAGACATAAAGTAAAGAAGGGGCGAAATCAATGGATATGGCATTTCTGCACGGACATGTTCATATCCCCGGGAAAGGATTGGGTACCCTCAATCGCCCCTTTTTACTAGAGACTCGGAATTTTACAAAAGTAATTCACATCGTCTCTTATACCCAGCACACCCCTCTGTTTTTCTTAAAGAGTTTCATAATTTACTTGCCCGCCAGCAGATCGATGGCTAAAGACAGGGCTAAATAATGAATCATGTTCAAATTGTTGACTCTAGTCCCTACCCCAGTCACAATATTGTACCCTTTTTCCATAATGAAAATATGATGAAATTATGATAAATTTATGATGAAACATAAGACAAACAACTTCCTTACATGAACATTTACAAATATACTGAGACCATCAGGTCCGTAGATGCAAGTCGTTTTTTTCTTCTTAACAATCAAACTTAAATGCTGATGAATATCAGATAAATCTAAGAAGTATAAGTGTATAAATGCAAGAAAATGGAATATGATGAAATACACATGAAAAAAATCAATCTTGAAAGAAAAAGAATGAGCTATAAAAAGTGTGTAATAAACGAGAAATGTATGTTGACCATCAATGTAAGTGCACAGAGTGCTAATTTGAATGCTACAAATGAATTAGAATGCTGGAAGTACGACGTCACGTTGTCAGAAAATCGTGTTGCGCCAAATCGAATGACCAAATAGCGAAAGAAGCACATTTTCATTAATTTGAATGAAACATACGTAGATTCTAACGAACATTCCATAGATTTGAAAACTAGAAAAGGGAATATCAACCCGAGATATACCTGACTGCACTAAAATCGTCGAATTTGAATGCAAGACAAATTAATTTGAATGACTAACTCACGAATTTGGCCGGGAAATCCTATATTATGATATTTTTCTCACCGACTCCCCCCCCCCCCCCCCAGCTCAGATTTGTTTCTTTTTTGTCTGTTTTGTTTTGTTTATATCTTTGGGATAAAGTATAATTTCCGACGTATAATAGTATCGTCAATATAGCATAATAGTTGTTTTTTTTAAAATATATATCAGTTTGATGCAACAGAGATTTACATTCAAAAGATTTACTTTGTATAATTATTGTACAGTAATATTCTTCTCATTTTGACATTATCAGCCGCTCGTTCTCTATTTCGTTCCCTATACTAAATATAAGGTATATGTAAGAGGGGGTATATGCGAGAGGGGAGGGAGGGGGGCTATATGTGAGAGAGGGGGGGGGGGGGGGGAGAGAGAGATAGATAGTTGGACGTAACCTGTATACTGTATTTTTTTAAATAAAGATATTTGTCTCTTCGATCACCCCCCCCCCCAGCTCTGATTTTTTTCTTTAATTTGTCTCTGTTTTGTTTGATTTTATCTTTTCGCTAAAGTATAATGTCCGATAACATCAGGGATATGTTTTAATAATTAATCTCAAGGAAGGGATGATACCGGCATAAAAGCAAATGGCGAAATAGCCAACATTATTAAAGGTGAAGATGGAAAACGACATAGACAGAGAGACAGACGGACAGAGAGAGGGAGAGAGAGAGAGAGAGAGAGGGGGGAGAGATAGAAAGTTGGACGTAGTCTGTACTGTTATTATTATTATCATATTTTTCTGACTGACTCCCCCCCCCCCCCAACTCAGATTTTTTCTTTCCATTTTGTTGTTTTGTTTTGTTTATATCTTTGGGCTAAAGTATAATATCCGACGTATACTAGTACCGTTAATATAGCATAATAAACATTTTTATATCAGTTTGATGCAACAGGGATTTACATTCGAAAGTTCACTTTGTATAATTATTGTACAGGAATGTTCTTCTCATTTCTACATTATCAGCCGCTCGTTCTCTATTTCGTTTCCTATAATAAATATAAGGTATAATGTGTACATCATCAGGGATAATTATGTTATATAGGATTTTCCGGCCAAATTCGCGAGTTTGTCAGTTTAATTAATTTGTCTTGCGTTCAAATTCGACGGTTTTAGTGCTGTCAGATATATCTTGGGTTTATATTCATTTTTTCTAGTTTTCAAATCTATGAAGTTTTCGTTGGAATCTATGTATGCTTCATTCAAATTAATGGATAAAATGTGCTTCTTTCACTATTTGGTCATTCAATTTGGCGCAACACGATTTTTGAAATCGCGAAGGTGTACTTTTAGCATTCGAATTTATTTGTAGCATTCAAATTAGCACTTTGTGCACTTAAATTGATGGTCAATATACATTTCTCGTTTATTACACACTTTTTATAGCTCATTCTTCTCTTTCCAGACTGTTTTGTCCATGTGTATTTCATCATATTTTATTGTCTTGCCTTCATACACTTTATATACTTTTAGATTTATCTGATCTTCATCATCCTTTAAGTTTGATTAATAAGAAAGAAAAAAAAACGACTTACACACTGTTAAAAAAAACAGTAGATTTTACAGAGAAAAAAATACAGAACCATTCTTTAAAGTGTTGTAACAGCAAATTTTCTGTAATTTAACAGGACAAATGTCTAGAAAAAATGAAGATTTTGTTTTTTTACAGGCAATTTGCGTGATTTCAGATCCCATATACAGATTTTTTACAATTCTACGGAATGTTCTTTTTTTATTAAGAAAACTTCATTTTTTAACGGATAATAAAAAAGAAATTACAGAAAACAAAAATACAGAACCATTCTGTAAATTGATGTAACTGGAATTTTCTGCAATTTAACAGGACAGATTTCTATAAGAAGGGGAGATGTTTTTTTTTTAATAGGAATTCTGTATGCTTTCAGATCCAATATGCAGATTTATTATGATTCTACAGAGCGTTTTTTTTTTCAAAGTAAACCTCATGTTTTAATGAATAAAAAGAAAGAATCTACAGAAATTAAAATACAGATTCATTCTGTAAAAATGTAAACTAGAAACTTTCTGCAATTTAACAGATCTCTAAAAAGAAGATCCCATGTAAATAAATGGAGTGTCTTTTTATTCAAAGTAAACCTCATGTTTTAATGAATAAAAAAAATACAGGAAACAATAATACAGAACCACTCTGATAATTAATGTTACTTGACATTTTCTGCTGTGAAAAGGACGGATCTCTCTCCCTCTCTAAAAAAAGGATTGTTTTTTTCTTTATGGAAATTCGTAGGCCTATGTTTTTAAGCAGATTTTGCTTTTAATTCTACAAAGTGTCGATTTATTCAAAGCAATCTCATTTAGTTTAATGAATAAAAAAGACAGAATTTATAGAGGAAAATACCGTAAACAATTCTGTAAAATTAATAGCTGAATTTCACTGCAATTTGACAGAAATCTAAAAAAGAAGTTGATGAGGTTTTTTTTTTCAAGGACATTCAGATCCCCTATAGATATTTAATGTTCTACAAAATACCCTTTTCAATTTAAAAAAAAAAAGACCTTAACTGCCTTTTAATGCCTTAAACTCAACAACGTAAAATAATTTGCGGTAAAAATACAAAACCTTTCTGTTAATTGACTCAAGCTGCCGAATTCGGGCACATTTAAAAGGGAAAGAAGATTTCGTTTTTACCGGAAATTAGTCTGCTTTTATCAGAGGTTATGCTTTATATAGGCCTAAATTTTAGTAGGCTAGGCATAATTATATATATACTTCAAAGTTCATGTAGACCTCTCAGAAATCCTTTTTTTTTTATGCCATAAAAACAACACGAACTCCCACGAACTGAAACTGTAACTATACCGGTACCGTAATTTTTCTGCATCTTCTTAATCTTCTTCTTTTTCTTCTTTTCTATTCTTTTTTTCTTTTTTCTAACAGGAAGTTTTAATAGTGCTTTCATATCTTATTCAGATTTCTGTTTTTTTATTTTATTTTTTCTTTCTTTTCTTTTTTCTTGCCGCCAACTTTTTTGTTACCGTTAGCGATAGCGTGTAACATGCATGCGTGCACTTCGTTCGCGCCCATATATGCATGCATGGCGATCGATCAGATCAGAACGAACCGGCCGGGCGAGCCGGGCCAGCGCCAGCTATAGCTTGCTAGCTGCTTGCACTCGCACGCGCGCGCCATGCATTAATTGTGCATGTTTACCATGATGTGTACGTACGTACATGTACAGTGCAGCATAGAAGTTATCTAGTTAGCACTATGAACATGACAGACAATGAAAGCGGACAAAATATACAGTTCCTCAGGAAAACAAAGGAACATCCCTTCACTGCTATTATGTAAAAATGTGTAGAACAGGTGAATATGCATGTGACACCTGTTCTACATATTTTTACATAATAGCAGTGAAGGGCTGTCCCTTTGTCTACCTGAGGAACTGTATATTTTGTCCGCTTTCATTGTCTGTCATATTCATAGTGTAGTCTGATCTGTACATAATGCATGCAGTACATACCTGCGAAGTTCGTTCGTGAGCTGAGCCTGGGCCTGCCTGTGATTTGAATTGGATTGGGTAAGTCGATTGTCAATTAAAGTCTCTTTTTCGTTAGGTATTATAACAAGAATTTCAATGTAGTGTTTATAGTATTAAGAATTGAGTTTGTTGGTGATCACCACGATGAGATTTAAGTCGGATAGAACTCGAGAATTTATGCTTAAACTCTAGTAAAGTAAGCTAGACCGATTAAATCTGTCTCTGTTTGGGGTAGACCGAAGGCTCCGGCCGTGTGTGTCGCTCTCAGTCATTAACATACGGACATTCTCTTTTTACCCTCTGAGTGGAGAGAGGGTAAAAAGAGAATGTCCGTATGTTAATGACTGAGAGCGACACACACGGCCGGAGCCTTCGGTCTATGTTTGGGGGACCTAGTATTTACAGTACGGTCATTAACGGGGAGGGCCGCCCGATTAATGACCGTACTGTAAATACTAGGCCCCCCAAAACAGAGTCATATTTAATCGGTCTAAAACTCTAGTAGAATCTAGTAGACTCTAGACTAGACTAGAGTCTAGTCTAGGACTAGGTCTATTTAATGATCTACAAGATCGAAAATGCCAAACGTTCTCACACACGTGGTTTGGTCTCTGGACTTTGTCTTTGGTCCTTTGGTCAAAGTCAGAAGTGAAAAGTTGCTAAATGAATGGCTATTGTTCACATCGAGTTCTTAACTGGTATGAAAAGCTTTTGTGATTTTTTTCTTGCTTGTTTGTTAGTTTGTTTGTTTACTTTGTTCATTATTCGTACATTTCAATGCTGTATATTCATGTTTGAAGGACAAAAAATGTTTCAATAAATTTCAGGTGGTATTTGTTTTTTTTGTTTTGGCAAGAAGAGGTGTTTTAATCACCAGCTTATGGTTAGAGCACTACTTGTGTTTTGATTTCATACAGATTATTGCAAGTTGCTAGCTTAGTATCAGTCCATAACGGAATTGGAAACAAAATCGCTCCTCACATCATTTCATTTTCAGCCATATCCAACCAATAAAACAAACATAAGCAGAAACAGACCCCCCCCCCCCCTGCAGGAATCCCGCAAGCAGCTTTTTATTGCCAATCCTCATATTTTATCATAGTCAAAACGATGGGGAATGTGGGAAAGCCACTATAAAAAGATGCATTTATAGCAGGATTCCTGCTATAAGACAAGGTACAGACTTTTGACAAGTTGTTTAAGTCATTATTTTCCAAGTCGACATATTTTCTTTCGTTTCAATATTCAAATTTCGAGAAGTTAAGCGTAGTTAGAAGTATGAAGATTAATTTGCAAGATAACATCTCTGTTTGTATGTATTTTCAGGGAACTCATTGGCATCAGTCCTGGGGGTCCAGTAAAGAGTGGAGGAAAGAAGAAGAAGAAATCGGCCGTGTCTCCAAAGATAATTGCCCTCCTTCGTGGAATCGTAGAGTTCGAATCTGACTGGAAAACAGAGTAGCAGACATCCAGCTCTCATTTTTTATGCTTCTGTCAATTTGTTTTGAGATGTGCTTTATTATGCACGATTTTTATTGTGACGAATACATGGATGAGACAATGTGATGTAAGAAACCTGTAAATTTCTATTATTTGTGCCTCATCTTGAAAGCCTTTTCTCAACATCCCCAACATAATGCAAATAAAATATATATAAGTATTAGTATAGTATAGGATGTATGCATCCAGATGTGAAAGGCTTTGATTTTTGGAAAGAGCCAAGATAGTCCTTGCCAAGGAACAAAGTGAGTTTTTTAGATTTTGTTGGTAATGTAAGAAAACCTCAGCAGGTCCTATTTATAATTTTATACCTATATAATTTGTATATTTGTTCTTTTGAAGGTTGTTTATAGTGTTTTCTTGATGATATATGCTACAGTATGCAAACATTATACCATGTTGGTGTTTACCCTGGTCAACTTTATATACAGGGTGTCCCATGAACAATGCCTGACACACTTCTGATAGCACACAGATCAACTTATTAATACCATTGGTAAGAGCAACATTTCCTTAAGGCCCTGTCACATTAGGCTTGCATGTGACTTGCAAGGAAATTTGTTTTGCTACCCAGGGGTCTGCGATACTGCGATACAACAATATTACATTTTGAAATAGTTGAGAAGAGGATCGGTTGAAAAATACAAATTTTTGAGGTGCTGAGTATGTACTAATTTGTGTTTTCAAAGGTTGGCAGCTATGCTATGTACATCATCTTCATCTTTTATTGGAAACATGTACATATTTTTCATTGAGGCAAGTGGGTATTTTGAGAACAAAAATAGACATTTGTATGCTGTTTAGGAAAATAATGTACATTATGCCATCTTCAATCATGAGAACTGATGGCCATATTAATTTGATATTCTTGGCCCGAACTCACAAAGGAGGCTTAAAGGAGAATAAAAGTTAGACAGTCGCATGATTTCAGTGAATGGAGAAGAACAACAAGACTTAACAGTAAAAGTTTGAGCAAATTTGGATAATCCGTTTTCGAGTTATGTATTTTTGAAGTTTTAGAAAATCCTTATTATGGACTTCCTTAAGTTGGCAACTTCGCCAGAATTTGTGATGTCATTGTGCTCAACTCTCCATTGGTTATGTACAGAGAGTTTCACTTTTTTCTAATTTTCATCAAAAATAATATTTCCGCCAGTGTATTTTGTTTTTGTATGACATGGCTACATCAATTCTGCAGTATGTCTGAAAGAATCAATACAATTGCCCTTTTAATATTTTATAAAAATAAAATGTTGTGAAACTCTCTGTACATAACCAATGGAGAGTTGAGCACAATGACATCACAAATTCTAGCGGAATTGCCAACTTAAGGAAGTCCATAATAAGGATTTTTTAAAACTTCAAAAATCCATAACCCAAAAAAGGATTATCCAAATTTGCTCAAACTTTTACTGTTAAGTCTCATTGGTATTCTCCATTCACTGAAATCATGTAAATGTCTGACTTTCATTCTCCTTTAAACTCTGTGGGGGGTTAAATCATGGTCTATGTAGATTTTGTGTATAATTTGCGCTTAATTTAGCGTGTATGCTGAGAAAGGTCCAATATGAAGGCACGCTGTATGGCAAAGGGCGCTCAATTCATGCTTGTTGCTATGATTTTAAACCATAGCTTTAAACCATGGCAAAAATCATGAATTTCTAGTACTTTGCCAAAAGCGTGCATTTATACTGGATCTTTGTCAGCTAATCATACACAAAATCTGCATAAACCATGGTCTAAACTTAAACTTCCTTTGTGAATTCCGACCATTGAGTGTGTGACCCTCAAATCGAGCAGAATTGCATCAAAATATCATCAGGTTAGATTTAGTGTGCATTTTGTTTACATTTTCTATGTTACAATGGACATGTTTGAAATAGACCCCCCCCCCCCCCCGGCACAGTTTTAGCATTGTTATAGCACATCTGAAAGAGCACCTCAAAGTGGTCTTAGGGATCCCGTTAGAATTTGGTTTAGATGGTTGATTGGAAGGCTTCTCTTCTACCCAACCAGAAGAGCGACATGTTATGATCCTTGGACTGTGATTTGTATTTTTCTGCACTTCACACTATTTGCAATATGATATCTGATCATGCCAATCATTTATTTTTTTAGAAATGTGTTAAATTATGTTTTGTATGTGTTTAAATATGCCAATCACATACAAGTCATGTGTTGCAGTAGGTTCTATGCCTCCAGATTTTAAAGGTTTTCATTATTGGTTTGAGCCAAAATAATCTTTGTAAAGGAATGAAGAATGCAGGTGCCCTTTTCTTTAGGCATCTATACAGGGTGAGTCAGAAAAAAAAAGTCCACTTTCAAAAATCTATATAATCTCTAATGTATGTTATTCTTCAAAGACTGTGGTATGTCCTAAAAGAGTATCTTCCTCTTTTATTTGGTATAAATTTTATCAGGTTTATAGCATGAATGTCATGCTTGTCTATACAGGAGGCCCTTTTTTTTTGAGAGAGAGAGGAAATAAAATTTCACCTGCGCCAGAAGTGGTGGCATGTCGATCATGAATTAGCAATAAATGATATACCTCGGTTAAACATGACTCTTTACGATTTCATATCATGGGGGGGGGGGCACCCCGTAGGCTATATAGTTTTTTGTTACATTTTATATCTTTGTTACTCACTGAAGTTTGCTTTTATTGTTTTCTTGTTGATTAAGCTCCTTGCAGATCAGTATTTACATGTTTGTAATTGGTAATGATAAATGAACCCTTTTAAAACTACAAAATGTTGCAGTTGTTTGTTAGGCCATATAGTTTTTGTTACATTTGATATATTTGCTACTTACTGAAGTTTGCTTTTATTGTTTTACTGTTGATTAAGCTCCTTGCAGATCAGTATTTACATGTTTGTAATTGGTAATGATAAATAAACCCTTGAAAAACTACAAAATGTTGCAGTTGTTTGTTTGACTGACTTGTGTATCTGTAAAATTAAAGCAGGTGCCTGCAGCAGTCACAAGATTTATTTTTTTAGTGTGTGTTTTGATGGTAACTTGTACATACACACTCTAGCATTAAGGTCTTACAGATTTTTCATGAACATGTTTGTAGGATTTCTATAGGATATAATTTAAATAATTTCATGAGAAATTTCATTTATTACACACAAATGTTATAAAACAGATTGGCTGTAAATTATGAATCATGCTATAAAATTACAGAATTTCTCGAGACTTCTGCAAGCACCCTGCCCTTTTTATTATTTTTTCATTCCGTTATAATTTTTCTATTTTTTATTTTTGTTTATTTTTTATTCATTTTTTTTTTACATGCCGATTTTCTGTTTCAAAACAGATGGACTGTAGATTTTGAAGAGAAATATGTAGTCAAATTAAAGCACTCCTGTAAACCTTGATTCAGGCACTCCTCTGTCTTTATTTTAAAGATAAATTTCATGTATCACAGATGGCTTGTTATTAAAAAGATGAGCTGTAAATTTTGATAGTAGATCTGCTGCAAAATTACAGGAGTTCCTTGTAGTTCGGCAAGTTATCTTTCTGTTTTTTTAAGAATAAATTTCATTTATCATATGCAGATTTGCGGCTAAAAAACAGATGAATTGTAAATTGTGAAAAGAAAAATGTGGCAAAGCTAAAGGATTCCTGTAAACCCTGAATCAGACACTTTTCTGTCTTTTTTTTTTACAAAAATGAAATGTTATAATCACTTACAGATTGTATGTTATTAAACAGATCAGCTTTAAATTATGGTTACAAATATGGTGTAAAAAAAACTGGAGTTCTCTAGAGTTCTGGAAAAATATATATATAAAAAACAGAAAATTTGTATTTATCACCTCCATATTTGCTGTTAAAAAACTGATGACTTGTGAATTGTGATAACAAAGTTCTGTAAAATTACAGGAGTTCTCGAGACTCTGCTGCAGGCACTTTTCTGTATTTTTATGGAGAATTTTTTTAACAGTGCATCTATGGACTTGATGGTCTCAATATTTTTGTAAATTTTCATGTACGGAAGTTGTTTGTTTTGTGTTTCATCATCAATTTATCACAATTTCATTGTGGAGGAAGGGTACAATATTGTGACTGGGGTAGGCATTTTTGTATCCCCACTTTTCCGGGGTATATGAACATGTCCGTGCAGAAATGCCATATAATTTGATTTCGCCCCTTCTTTACTTCTTTAATGTCTCACTACACCCATATGCATTGTCCTAAAAATTAATAAATGGAATAAGGCTATCAAAAAAAATATACATGTTTAGCGTCCCCGCCCGCTTCCTTTTTGGGGCCGCCTCCTATTTTATTTCATTTTTTTTTATTTTTTAAAGAAAAAAAAACATGAAAAACACTGCTAAAATGGATCTATATCTGATTAAAAAAAATACAAATACAAAATGTCGTAGGCCATCTTGAAAAATAGCCCGACTGTCAGGGAAAACGTACCGAGTGGCCATTTTGAGCGGCCATTTTTAAAGAAAAGGAAAAAGAAAAAAAGGACCTCCTCCTTCCTATTTTTCGAAAAAACAGGAAACATGTTTTTTTTTATTTGGCCTAACAGAAAAGACCCTAATGGCAAATCATGCATTTAATTGTTTTTTTCTTCAAACTGTAAACGTGTGTTGCATTTCCCCCCCCCCCCTAACATTCCAATTTGATGCAACAGAGATTTTCATTCAAAAGTTTTACTTTGTAAATATAATGATTGTACAGTAATATTCTTCGCATTTCGACATTATCAGCCGCTCGTTATCTATTTCGCTCCCTATAATAAATATAAGGTATTTATTGTGTACATCAGCATTATGTTATGATAATTTATCTAAAAGAGGGAATGGTGCCGGCAAACAAGCAAATGGCGGAACAACATTGGCAGATAGACAGAGAGACAGACATACAGAGAAAGCTACCGAGCGAGAGGTAGAGGGAGAGAGAGGGAGACACACACACACACACACACACACACACATAAATAGAGAGAAAAAGAGACAGAAACAATCCTTTCTTATATTCATCTATTTGTCTGTGAAATTTTATCTTATCACATATTCTTGTCCATTCCTTTATCGTGCATGATTGTTGTCTTTGAATGATTGTTTCAGATATTTATGAGTATGTCGGAACGTGATCCCATTAACAAATTTAAAAAACAGAAACGACAACTGCAAAAACAACAAGACCCCCTACCCCCCCCCCCTAAAAAAAACCCAGGGTCATACATGTAGTACATACAAGGATCAGTTCATTGTCATTCAATTATACCCTTACCTAACTTCCGCTCTTCTATTGTGGGAGTTGATAACGACCATGACAACGACCTGTACCCTCAAAAACTTTAATTGTTCCTGTTACGTAACTAAGCTGTGGGATCATGGGCCAAAGACAAAGACATAGCTCTTTTCGCATATTCTATATAGGTCCCAAATACTTGCAGACATTTCTGTGTCGGTTTTATTTGTATGTACCTTGTCAATGTACCTTGTATACTTAATGTATACATATACTATAATTCGTCCTTGTTTTCACGAAGTGACGGTAGTGAGGAAAAACGTAACGCAAAGTGAATGCAATTTTTTTTCACTACCGTCACTTCGTGAAAACAGCGACGAATTGTCAAAACTTGGCAATATATTCATTTATATACCTCATTTTAAGATTCTTTACTAATCCTGTCTTCTGATTGGTTGAAAATGCAGTCATGTTCTTAACCATGCCCGCTAATTGAAATTCATAGTCATTTTTCCCGGCTCTACCGGTTTATATCCATTTTTCATAGCACTTTTTCCATGGCTGTGAAACGTGACGTCATTTTGCTGCGATCCCCAACCATGCCCGCTAATTGAAATTCATAGTCATTTTTCCCGGCTCTACCGGTTTATATCCATTTTTCATAGCACTTTTTTCATGGCTGTGAAACGTGACGTCATTTTGCTGCGATCCCCATTTTGGTTTACGTGTTACCGTATAAGTTTCTTTTGTGCGATGAGATGGAAACCTAAATGGGTGAGTCAACATTTTTTTTTTTTTCGGTATATAAAATATATATTGACTGCTTTTAATATTCGAGGCATAGTTGTTTCTATAGGGTCTCGGGAAACTCACAACCTGCTATGACCCCGCGGCGCAAGCGCCTTGGGGTCATAGCAGGTTGTGAGTTTCCCTTGACCCTATAGAAACCACTATGCCTCTCAAAGCAGTCAATATATCCTTAATAGCACCTTTACATAAACAAGCTCAAAACGCATTTTACATTAGTAAATAAAAACAAACTAATTATTTTGCTCTCCAAGCAATACTTACAAACTATTTCGTTTTCCCTATATCATCTTTTTAGAGAGCGAAAGAGAGAGAAAGAGAGAGAAAGACAGACAGATATATATATATATATATAGAGAGAGAGAGAGAGAGAGAGAGAGAGAGAAAGTTGTTTGCATCGTATAGTCTGTACTGTATTATGCTATTTTGTCTCTCCTTTCAACCCCCCCCCCCCCCATTCTGGATTCTTCTTTAGTTTCATTTTATAATGTTTATAACTTTTCGATAAAGTATAATGTCCGACATATATTATAACCGTCAATTTAGGCTGATAAACTATTTCATATTAATTTGATGCAACAGAGATTTACATACAAATCTTTTAATTTTTTATATATTGTGTATTTTTATCATAAAATTGAGTATCTAAATAAAAAGAGATGAAGAAGAACAAGAAGAAGAAGAAGAAGGGGGAATAAGAGTGAGAAGAAGAAATAAAAGATGCGGAGGAGAAAGAAGAAGAACAAAACAAGAGAGAGACAGAGAGAGAAAGACAGACAGAGAGAAAGAGAGAGAGAGAGAGAGAGGGAAAATTGGGCGCATCGGTGTATAGTCTGTACTGTATTTATTTATTATTATGCTATGTTGTCTCTCCTTTCACGGTGAGTTTGATAGAGAGGGGAGGGGGGGGGGGGGGGGGGGGGGGGGGGGGGGGGGGGTCTAGGAACAAAAGGGAAGCGTCGACCCGTGTATTGTTCGTGACATCCATTCAATAAACTACTGTTTAATGAGCGGAGTTGGGCAAAGGCAACGTTGAATGTCCAAGATAAAATCATTAGGAGCCAGAGCAAATAACACTGAGTTCCTATAGGAAATATATTTATTCAGATGGTCATATCTCAGCCAATACTTCACATATTCAATTGTTATCAATATTAGGACATCATTTTTGATTCTCTTTCGGAAAATAAAGAAAAATTGTGAAATTCAAAACATAGATTATTGATGACGTCACAATCACCACTTATTTTAGATTTGTTTATTACCCGTGTAACTGTGTTAGATTCTTTTCATTTCATATACCTGGGGACA